TTGTGTGTACTAAGTTTGCCGTCTTCATATAAATCCAATCAGAACATATTTTGCATTATTACTTAATGAGATTAGTATTATGTGGCACAAGGCCCGCAGGTGAGAGATACATGATGACGATCAAATATAAGACCAACTCTCTAACAAAAATTTCATGGCGTCAAATTTTCAGTCAATCTGTTTATATACGATATTGAGAGGTCGGGGGAAACAAATATTCGTACACATACAAATTTTTAATTTATTGTATTTCCAACTAATAAATAAACATACTTTTCATATAATTAACTGTACACAAATGCATAATAACTAAACATGCATAGAAAACAGAAAACAATTCTGATTGAATAGAAATAAATCCCATTTATCCATTTTAATAGGTGAAAAATGTATTCGTGCAATGTAAATTTCAAATTTTAAATTGCTTTAATACTCTACATTATTCAAGTGAAATATTCTAGAATGTTCCAATAATGTTATCAGTAATTATTTTTAGCCTAAAAAATATAAATGGAACATTCTGCAATTGATATTCGTGCAAGAAGGTTATCATCATGGCAAGAGGTAAAGAATTGACAAATTTGCAAAAAGAACTGATTATTAAGCTCTGGAAAGTTATAGGAAAATCTCAGACAACCTTCCCTTTACTACCATTAGTTCGTTCATTAGGTATAAAAAAAACTCAAAACTGTTGAAAACCAAAGAAGAACACGTGCTCCACGGAAGATTTCTGTAAGATCTTTGAGGAAATTAATGCGTCAAATTAAACAAAATCCAATGGTTTTATTTTCATCAGGAATCTGTGTCACAAAACGAACAATAAACAATGAAATTGATAGAAACAATCTAAAGTCACGCTCCCCTCGGAAAATTCCACTGCTATTGAAAAGACGCGGAGATGTCAGGTTGAAATTCGTTTGTGAACATAAGGATAAGGACAAATATAATTGGGAAAGAGTATTATGGACAGACGAAACCAAAATTGAGTTGTTTGAACGTAATTCTAGAAATCATGTATGGAGGAAAGATGGCGATGCCTTCAAACAAAAGAACACCGTGTGCGTGTCTGTGTGTATGTGTGTACGTATGTGTTTGTGTGTGTATACAAAATGGGTTATAGAATTCCGACAAAATTTTGAAGAAATTTGACAGATGGAAAAACGTTTCATTGAAAGAAGATTTGATTACACGTCTCGATTTTCTACATATACAAACTCGCTAGAATCGATGCATTTTAATCTATCTATCTATGTATGTATCTATGTGTTATACTGGAACACACCTATTCTATTGTTAATAGACTCTCCCACCTATAATAAGTCGGAGTAGTAGCAGTCGCTAAGGAGCTCAGGAGTGGCTCAGTCAGTCGATGTCGGACACTAAGAGTATCAGCGACCACCACTAGATTTCTCTGCGTCATTACTAATTATATCAAGTCCTTAACGTTTTGTACGTCGAACCTTTTTAGGACCGACTTAGTGAAATACAAGCCTCCACTGTGAAACTACTCTACAACACTATCTATCTATCTATCTATCTATCTCTCTCTCTCTCTCTCTCTCTCTCTCTCTCTCTCTCTCTCTCTATATATATATATATATATATATATATATATATATATATATATCTTAACGGAAAGTAAAATTGCAACAAACTGAGTAGTGATGATTTTGTCTTGGGTTCAATATATAATTGCTGGGGGAGGTAATAGATATATATCATTTCTAAAATCTTTTGTTACAAAGTAACACTTCAGGCCTATGTCTGAGCTTTCGACGGTGAAACATGCTATGATAAAGTTTAGGCCAGTAAAGGATTCTAGTGGCATCAGATGCCATAACCTGGAGACACACACGTAAGCCTTTTACTCAGTAAGAGCCGTTTAAAAGGGACCAGATTTTGAAACATCAAGAGGTATTTCGAAAAGTCGTAGCGCATCTTGACCCTGGCGCTGGTAAACAGTAGTCAAACAAACGCTGCTACACAAGTACACCAATTGCAAGACGGACACAGAGTACAGACGCTCAATAAGATCGACATATTTTAACTAACTTTAACTTTTAAAAATGGTAAGCAACTCTAAATTATTTTTTTGCTACAGTAGTTTATCTTTCCGATTCATCTTTCAGTTAAAATTAAGCAAAATCCCAATCTTTCGGTTGCAATTTGGCGGTCAAAAAGCAGATTCCGTTTATTTAGTAAAATTTTGACGGGTTTACGAATTTGGTGAATCTCTTTTCCCTCTCTCTTTCTCCCTCTCTCTTTCTCCCCCCTCTCTCTCTTTCTCTCTCTCTCTTTTATATCCCTTTGGAATGAAGGTGTTCATGGCTTCTCGTTAATTGCTGATGCGTTAATTCACCAAATTCTTCTTTTTATTTTACCTTTATTTTTCAATGGCAGATGGCTATCATCGGGACTTGCGACCATCAACTGATCCTGCCAAATATACTGTATTTCAGAAGTCCTATATATTTCTCACATGTGTGACTTTTTATTATAAACGAAATGTTTTTCCCCTGCTCCTTAACCGTAACATATTCTCTTTTGCTTCACACACACAATATATATTTTTCTTTCTTTTTCACCTTTACGCTGACACAGAGTTTCAACTTTCTGTTGGTGGGAAACTCTTATGGCCATCAGGTCTAGCGATGTTAGCACAGAGTCAGTTCTTCAATTAGAAGCAGGGTTACATTTTCAATTATGTCTTTCGATTTATTGCAAGATGGCGTTGATTTTTGTTGCTGATGGACAAACGTTATCTTCTTGGCGTTGAAGTTTATATTTGCTGTTGCAAAGTTGCACTTGATTTTCAAAAAAGCATGATTCCCGTAACAGTCTATTTCATTATAAAAGTTACTTCTTTCTTCTAGTGACATCCTTACAAATGGCTGCATTTGGTACCTTCTTTTTCAGTTCGTCCATTGGTTTATGTTGGCCGTTTGTGACTTTCTATTGGAAGATAAACAAGTGTAACATTGCGGTGTAGAATAAAAAAAGAATTTCAAGGATTAAGAAGAAAAAAACACATGACTAATAAACAGTAACACAAGTTGTTGGAAATTTATCGTGTTTCTAAAATACAATATATGTGACAAGGTCAGTTAACGGTCACAAATCTCGCGAGAAAAATGGAAAAGGAGCATTATATAACGGGGACTTTTCATTGGACCGTGAGTTGAATAATCATTCAACTCACGGACCAATGAAAACCAGTCGCAGCCAGTGAGGAGGTGAGATTTCCTGGTAAAAAAATGTAGTTCCCTCAAGAATATTCAGTGAGGTCTTTGGTCAGTTAGCGATCAGATGAGGAGAGGGAAGTTCTTTCACTCACTGTACCCTCTCCATTACGGATGAGTAGTCGGTGACATTTCCCCGCTGGAGACAATAAAATTGGCCGATAAAACTCCAGTGCATTTTGCAATTTGTTATAACTTGAAAATTTTCGCTTGGTGAAAAGTTGGCTTTTTTACTTTCAGTGATAAATCGAAATGGTGCAGTCTTGGCGCAGTGGCCTGAAGGCAGTCGATGAAAGCCACTGCGCAAAGCAACGATCGTGGTTCTTCTAACACCAGCTCGAGTCGTATACGGCGTCGTGACACTGTAACATCAGGACATGAGATTATCAACTAACATATTTGTATTTTCTCTAAGTTCAAAATTTTCTGACGATTGAATCCTGTTTCTAAATTTAATTGCAAATTTCCATTAGTATTGCTTATCACTTGTTATTATTTTTGCTGTGGACTTAGGCTTATTAATATATTAAAAAATAAAAGAAAAAAATCTACTGAGAAATAGATTGGTTCGACTTCTAAAAATGATATTTAAACCTTATAGATGTCAGCCATGAGTTGCAATATTCTGTTTTTAAAACTACAAAATAATTACATAACAATTTTCAGCCGCTAGACAAAAGCAGAATATGAATTTATTCGATTAGATTTGAAGCCGGCCAGCTTCATCTCTTGATATTGTTGAAAAACATTTGGACCAGATAGATTTTTAAAAAGTATTCAATAACGTAGAAAATGTTTTCTTTGCTACTACGATTATAAAATAAAGAGGCATTTATTTAATCTTGTTCTGGCAGGAAAAAGGATAAAATATGTATCACACTAACTACAGCGTGCGAGATTACTTGTTGGATGATGTATAATGTTTTAACGAACGACATAGGAAAATCTTTTGAACGTAATTGATAGTTCTGTGCTTATAAACTTCCGCAAATTGGTCGAACAAATAAAAACAATGAGCAATAATATATATATATATATATATATATATATATATATATATATATATATATATATATATATATATATATATATATATATATATATATATATATATATATATATATATATATAAACTGAGTGGTTAGAAAGTTCGCATTCGGACCATGAGACCCGGGTTCGAATCTCACCATGGTCGATTTGTCAGAAAGGAGACTTCCTAATTTGGTTTGATCCTATGGAAAGTGACTGAAAACGATGGGTTCACTCAAGCCTTGTGAGTGAAATTGGGCAGACAAAACCCTTGGGCGGCCGTCGATAGATGTGCTAGCACGTATTCACAAGTCATTGAACGTGCTGACCTTGTTCAAATTGTTGATCACGCTAGATAACACGCTCTTTCCCGGAAACTGTAACTAACGTCTGCTCAGCGTAGTTGCAGTATAAACCACAGATGGGCTCTATGGGTGTTGAATAAACGCAAATGTCCCTGAGCGAACGTCTGCAATAGGGATTGGCTAGCCGCCCTAGTAGTGTCCTCGAATACGAGTGGCCAACTATACTATAGTAAACAAGATTGCATTATTAATGACACAGAGTAAGGATCGAGTGCAGTGACATTGTAGGTTTTTACAAGTAAAACTTTGAAATATTGATAAGCAGATATTGTTTTCTACAAAAAATACTTTATTCGGGGTATCTTATGGATTTAATTATTTCCCAAGCAGATGACAAATTATTGGGAAAAGGTGTGGGGATGGATCAATGACATGTAGCGATAATAAACAAAATATTTTTAAAGATCTATCTATCTATCTATCTATCTATCTATCTATCTACTGCATGACAGTCTACTTCGATATATCTATATATCTATCTTACTTATTCGTTATTTGTAGTGGATACCCGTATTTTGAGTAGATACACCGTTGATTTTATTTCATCTACCAGTCTGTATATTCGAGAAAACTTCTATAAAATATCGAATTATATACCTAAACCTGTATATATGAACGTTTTTTTTCTTCATCTCTTAAACAACTTTTTATATATAGAATTAGACTATACGCGTGTGCGAATACAGACACACATCATATATAATGTAAAATACACGCATCATTAATATGTCTCTCTCTCTCTCTCTCTATATATATATATATATATATATATATATATATATATATATATATATATATATATATTTTTTCCTGTCTTTCTCACTCTCCCATTACACAAATGTGTGTATTTATATATATATATATATATATATATATATATATATATATATATATATATATGTGTGTGTGTGTGCATGTACATATATATTTGTGTGTACATATATATGTATGTGTGCCTGCATACATATATGTGTATGTACATATATATATATGTGTGTGTGTGTGTGTGTGTGTGTGTGTGTGTGTGTGTGTGTGAATAAAAAGAGCCAAGACGAAAAACTATTCTTAGCCGACGCATTTATGTGTGGATGTGTAGTTAATAAAAACATATGGATAAAAATATGTATCACAAGTAATAGTAATTAACGTGATTACACTTGCATTCATGTATATTCTTATGTAGACATAATTATATATTATTGTTTGTGTGTGTTCAGCGTGCATAAATT